TCATTAATTTTTTCATAGTTCCCTTTTGAATATAAATTTTTTGTAAAATATGGCAGTATATTTATGACATAGTATATTTATGACATTAGATATATTTATATATATTGCTAAACTTCTTTTGCAGGAATTATTGCTGTGGTTTGAATATAGTAAATAATTTTCAATAGCAAACTCGAGATCGTTAATTTCAATTTTATTGTTTTTAGGTAGAGTTTCTGTTAGAAAAATAATTAAGGGTTTCAGATTATTTACAAATTGTTTGAGCTCATGGCGTTTATTTAATAGAGAGTCAATGTTTGTGTAGATAGCTTTTAAGGATTTAATTTCAGAAATTTTTTTACTGGTTTGTAAATTAATCCAACTTTTTTAATGGTTTTTTTATATTTTTTGTTTACTAAAATTGAGTTTGATGACTTCGTTGCGCTTAATGCACCATCGAAAGGGTAAGTTTGGTTCAATTTCTAGGAGTAATTGGTTTTTTTTATTTCTTTCCTTTCTTAGTTGAGAATCCGATTTGCCTTTCGGCGAGAGTCATATCCGGACTAATGAAGACATTTGTATAGTTTACGTTTTTGCGTAATTCCCTTGATGCAAGTAAAACTTTATTGCGTTCGCAGTTTTCAGGAAGTACGGCAATAATAGGGGGAGGAGATTTTGTGTCTTTTTTGTTTTTTAATCTTATTATCTTAATAGGTTTTTCATTGCCTTTTCCAATTTCCTCAAATATCTCGTTAATTTTTTTTTTGTCGTCGTTGTTTTTTTCAAGTTCATTTAAATTATTTGATTCTGGAATTCCGAAAACGATCATGTTTTTTTCACGCTTTTTTTTCTCTACCTGTTCAGATAATATAGTTTTTGTAATTGAGTTTACAACAATAGCTTTTTCTGCAGATTTATTTTTATTATTAAGACTTGACCAAAATGTAGCTGAACTATTTTCGGTTTCTTTTTTCGATTCTAATAATTCAATTCTTTTTATAAGACGTTGAATGGTTTCATTCTGATCACGTATAATATCGGATAGTTCCGAACAACTTAGTTTACCTTGTTTAATCATGAATATTGTGATTTCGTCGTGTCGATTTTAGTGAAATTAGGATTATATAAAAATTATAATAATATACAACAATAATAAAAATAAATAAAAAAAATTAATTAAGCAATTGACAGCAAAAAAAATATAAAAATAGAGCAAAAGTAAATAAACGTACAAAATACAATAAAAATATATATGCAAAAAACGTTAGAGACTTTATATAAAAAAGAAAACCTTAAATATAAATTATTATTTTTTTTTTATTTTTTTTAAACAAATAAGGATATATAGGGGAAAGCGGGGCAACATGGCGAACGTTTTGAAAGCCCTGTGTTATTGAAAAACTATAAGTCGTGAAGCCATAATACTTTCTCAGTATGTTTATGCTATTAAGTTCTTTCATTGCCTGCATAAATTTTCAGTTTGCAAATATAACAATTTGAAATAAATATTAAAATAAAAAGTTCATAAGTTTGTCATGTGGTCACGTAACCGGGGCAAGATGACTTATTATGCAATTTTTACCTCCAATTTTGTAAAATTTTAAAAACTGACTATAACTCTAACTAAAGTAACAAAAAATAAACACAAATTGCAAAAACTACTTCTAAAGAAGTTAAACTTGAAGGACACCAACCATTATGAGAAACCGAAAATGAGGAACTTTTTTTTAAGCGCAAAAAGTAAACTTATTTGTATAAAAAACCAATTGGTGTTTTAAAATACAAGATGCAAATATAGTTTCGTTTTCACCCAATTTTTAAATTTTTTGTTGAGTTGTTATATGAAAACCCATCTTGCCCCATTCGCCATGTTGCCCCGCTTTCCCCTAAAGCTGTAAAAAAGAAATTAAAAAAAAAACTAGAAATATAAGCTTGGAAATAGAGAATATAATAGTTTAGGAAAACATAATGTTAGTAATAGATTTAAAAATTTATAATTGATTTAAGAAATCTATATCTTACGCTTAAAAAACACGTCTTATTACTTTGAAAGCGGAAGTCAGAAGTGAATATTTGAATGACATTAACTTTTTTCTAAAATGCTATTTTTTATTTAACTATTTTTTATGTTTATTTTTGTACTTTTAGATAATTTAAAAGTATTTTTGTTAAAATGTTTGATAAAATAATGAGAATAATAAAAATGCTAAAGTAAGCAAAACCACATAAAAAATGGACCATCGATGACTGTAAACGCAGATCGACGTGCCGTAATTTTTATTCTTTGGTTTCGCGATAAGATTGATTGTCTAAAAAAAATCGTTGAATTTATGATAAAATAGTGTGTATTATTGACTGTAAAACATGGTGGATGTAGTTTTAAGGTGTGGGGCTGTTTTGGTTAGAATGTCACAGGTGAATTTATGAAAATAGAGGAAGTAATGACAAAAGTAGTTTACTAGTACACTTAAATAAATTATGCTACACCATCGAAAAGATGGCTTAATGAGAAGCTATTCATTTTTACAAAAGGAAATGACTTGAATCTTAAAACATATTTTCCAAAAACTTGTTTAAATTATTTGATCAGAACGATCAAGTATTTAATGAAATGATTTAGCCTCCCCAATCACAAGATCTCTCTCCTATCGGATTTTTATGGAAGTAATTAAAAGTAATGTCAAAATTTAATGCTAAATGAGGCATGAGGTGTAGAAAAACTTATTAGTTAGTGGATTAAAATTGATTTTGACAAATTGATTAAGTTGTTAAGTAGAATGCCAAGAATATGTATGGCGGTTTTTGTCGCTAAGAGTGATTAAAATGCAAATTTTAAATTAGTCTAATCGGACTTATACTAATTTTTTTTGTAAACCTAATAATATGGAAGATAAAATATAATTCAGGTAGACTTTACTTACAATTTCTCTCCCAACAACTATGATATCTTATTTCGAAAAGTATATACATATAAATATATACAGGGCCGGCGCGAGTAGGTGTCACGTGGGGAGGGGGTGCCATTACAACTTTTGCCGACCGAAATAAAAAAAGGTCCTCGTTTTTGAGAATTTCCCGACTGCTATGACGACATTTGTTTACCGATTAACCTATCGAAAGGGTCTACATTTGCCGACTAACTAGTCGAAAAGGGTCGAATTTGCCGACTAAAAATCATAATGGGGTGTGTCACCTCTATCGCGCCGGCCTTGTATATATATATATATATATATATATATATATATATATATATTATATATATAGATATATATACAGATATATATATATATATATATATATATATATATATATATATATATGTATATATATGTATATATGTATATATACATGTATATATATATGTATATATATGTATATATATGTATATATATATATATATATATATATATATATATTAATTATATATATATATATATATATATATATATATATATGATATATATATATAAATATATATATATATATATATATATATATATATATATATACATTATATATATATATGATATATATAAATATATATATGATATATAAATATAAATATATATATGATATATAAATATATATATGATATATATATATATATATATATATATATATATATATATATATATATATATATATATATATATATATATATAATATATATATATATATATGATATATATATAAATATATATAAATATATTTAGGAACAATGTCTAAACATCAAAAAGTTCAAATTATAGAAAAAATTATTTCGCACGAAGTTGGGAATTTTTATAATTAGTTATGTAATAACTATAGTTATTTTGCAACCAGGAAGTTGCATCAACTACATTAGATAATTAAAAAATCATAAAAAGAGTTCTTTAGAATTGGGATAATTTTAGACTACATAGTCATTTGTTTTTATAATTTTTTAAAAGGAACTTATTTTCATGTCTGCATTTAGAAATTAATTCAGATTTTTTTTTCAGTAAATTTTCTTGTTTATTTTAGTTGCCAAATATATTTTGACAGCATAGTCTCTTTTGAGTATTTTTTATGTTTAAAAGATTGTTTGTGGTTGGCATAACGTTTTTTTCATTTGCCCTCGGTTAAGCCAATATATTGCTTATTGGGGTTGTTTTGTGAGGAAACAATGCATTTGTAAATAAAAACTTTTGATAAGCAAAAGCCGTTCATAGGGCAGTCAATTTTTTCCTTACAAAAAAAATATATATACACACCTTAATGTTTCAATATGATAAACTAACACTGGATTAAAAAAATATTCGATAAAAACACTTTTTTAGGGGTGCCTCAAGATGCTTAAACATTTTTTAGGTAATAAAAACTTATGTCTTGCTAGGTCTTTAATTGAGCAAAATTATATAAAATTTTTAAATTTATAATTATTTAAAAAAAACATTGAAAAAAAAATTATAATCAAAAAAGTGTGTAAAAATGCACTTTTTTCGTTTTTAGTTAAAAATTAGAATTGAAGATATTACTTAATATCAATTGCTATTAAGCAAAGTTTAAATTCATAATTCTTTAACATAAACGACTTACGAGCCAACAACACATAATTTTGAAAAACTTTTTTTATTACAGTTAGGCACTCGAAATAACCAAAATTTTGCATTTTGTGAAATACCTGATTGCACGATATATGCTTTTCAAATTTTATACCTGTATATATATATATATATATATATATATATATATATATATATATATATATATATATATATATATATATATATATATATATATATATATATATATATATATATATATATATATATATATATATATATATATATATATATATATATATATATATATATATATATATATACTGTAAACGGGATGACGGTTAAAAATATATTTTATTTACAACTGACTATTTGTTTAATTTTTAACGCTAACCTTCAAGATTAAAGACTAACATATACACTAATGTATACTGAATCTAAGAATACAAAACATATTATTAACGTACTAATTATTGCTTTACACAACTTTTTATTTTCGAATGATACCTTTTTCATATCACCACAAATTTTGCTTTTCATTTTCAACTTGGCAATAACATAATGCTCCATAATTCTATAAAAACGTAATAACAAATAATAAATGGAAAATAACTACTTTGTAATATTACATTAAGCGATTCAGCGAACTTATTTAAATAATTTTAAATACACATTAGAGTGATAATTCATAAAGTATAATTTGGAAAGGTTCTTTATTTTTTTATAAACTTTTATATTCAAAGTTTTGACATTGAATTAAAGCTAAAACCTGTAGGGGAGAACCTAAATAAATGGGGTAGTTTTTGCAAAATACTTTTTAAAAGTTGATAAAGTTGCTTTATTTATACATTGAAAACTATTTGATAACCATTTACTCTCACACTATGTGAGAGTCAATCGTTAAATTTACAAAAAACTCAAAAATAAATTAAACTTAACTTCTCGCACCAAAACTAAAAAAATGTTTCCACCTGGAGAAATGTGCTATTAGTTCCCATTAATGCAACATTAATAATGTTATGTTTGGCCCATCATATTTAGACCATGATAGGAATAATGATTTAGTCTGTTAAATTTGTTGTGTTAAACATTTTTTTACAACAGGAGTTTGGATATCTAACTAACCTTAGATGCTTGTATGTCAATTTGATTTTGTCCCATTCAATAAGCGTTAAGGTTCTCCCCAAACATTAATATTAAAATTGTTTGTTTTTCTAAATTACTTTACTTTTTTTTAGGAAAGTAATTTAGAAAAGGGCTAGATTTTTCTATAAAAATTACTCTCAATTTAAACATTTTGATTATTCAGAGTTAAACAAAAATACATACCTGACTATAAATTTTTTTGTATTTTCTTTTATGTTTTTCCACCTGCTTTTATGAGGTGAAAAAGCTAAAACATAAATAAAAGTTTAGAGAAAATTTCATGTTGTAATAAGACAGGATTAGATTTATTTGGTTGTTTTTCACAGCTGTTCTATAAAAGCAGCAAAATAATATTTGCTAAACCATATAAAAGACAAAATAATTTAACAAAAATACAAGACTGTAAAAAATTCTACAAAATGTAAATGGCTATCAGGTCACTAAATAATTCTCGATTTATAAATAGGGATTTACCTTTTACACCATATTGTGATAAAATGTGAGAATGATTTAAATAGGCTCATCAAGAAAACGATGAACTTAAATAGCATTCTATTAAACAGACAAACTTTAAAAATAAAAATTATAAATACAAATTACCAATTTATTGTGCTCCCCGTTGTCTTTTATTCTGGTTTGCAAATATTAACTCATACTCATGCAAAAAATCATATTAAAAATCATCACAATTATTTGGCTTGATATCACTAACAAATAATGCTACAGTAAATGGTATCACTTTGTCAAACATACATAATGTAGGCCGAACCTGTGTGTTTCATGACTTTAATAAGGGATGCCATCTACATTGACAACTAAAGAAATTTTATTTGACTCAAATCTATAATGCTGGTTAATTGTTAAAGTTCTTGATTTGTCATTTGAAATACCAAGGTGAACATATTTACCCCCACATTTTAACTTGCTTGGAAAATTCCTAGGAGTATTTAAAATTTTCCTTGTGCATTTTGGTAAATCAACATGATAACTATACTGGTGTAAATGGTTAACAATTCGCCACTTGCATTTCTAGTTATTCTGTGTTTTAAAATCCATTTGGCAACCTCTGTAACAAGTACTCCATTATGAAGATATTCATTATTATCACTCACAGGAACCTTAGAGTCTAGATTAGAACTCTCAGTTTCAGAAGTATATTTATGATCAGAGACAAAATAAAAGTCACTATAGTTTTCAATTTCAAAGTTTTTGAAATCAATCCAAATCTTGACTCTATTAATATCAGATTTGACATTGATGTGAGTCAATTTCTTCATTGACAAGTACTTGTTTAAGGCTCGATTACTTTGGCGCAATTCCTTCAAGAACTGATTTTTCTCTTGTTTATTCATTGTTATTATTCTGAAATAAACATACATTTTAGTAGTTTTAACAATAACAAGATAATAATAAAAACTAAACACAATGAAAAATAGTAAGAAGAAGAAGAAAAATTAGTTTTTATTAATAGAAAAACAGGATGAAACTTATTTAGAAAAAGTTAATATTCTTATATTTCCTAAAATTTAAAGAGTTAATATTCTTATCCTCTTATCAAACTTCATTTTTTCTATGTAAGTTTTTTACTCGCTAGCTCATTTATCTTATAAAGTTAAATGTTTGTATATAATTGTCATAATTAAAATCATACAGTTGAATGTTTGTATTATAATTAAAATCTTAAAGTTAAAAGTCTTATTAAATAGTAATAATCAATAGTCATAATTGTGCCAGAAAATAAGCTGAAAACAATTTTTGAAAAAACAGTAAGAGCATTTGCTAGTCTTTATTAGCTATGGTTATTTAGACTAAAATAAAAAGTAGCTTAAAATAAAATCTGAAAATAAAAATTAGGTATTACAGATTTTTTAACATCGAAATGTTAACTTTAAACTTTAGTTAGCAAAATAATGTCAATTGTATTTTTTTTTTTCAGTTCATTAGTTTAACATTAAATTATTAAGTTAAATAGATTATGTTAAATAAAACATAACTAAATAAATTCACAAATTAATACTAAAAATGTGAATATACAAGAAGATTACAGGTATAGTATATACTATATATATATATATATATATATATATATATATATATATATATATATATATATATATATATATATATATATATATATATATATATAACTGCTTAACAATTGCTTGCATTCTCTATACATATTGTTTGACATTTATTTACTGATGGAGAGGTCTTTTCAATATTTGCAATATGATCATATATTTGAGTTTTTGTTGAAGACTCTCTATGCTTTCTATAAATGAAAATTTTAAAATACATTTTATTTTAATTGCTTTACAATTTGATTTTTTGATGCATAGCAGATGCTTGGTGAAGATATTTGAAAAATTAACGTTCCGGTTTGAAATTAATAATATATTTACGTTGTTTGTCAAAATGTAGGCAAAGTGACCAGTTTATTGAAATTCATTTTCCGCAGATAAGTTGATTTAAAATATTATACTATATTGCTCAGAGTGAATAACTATTAGATTCAAAGGGTAGCCATAGCAGCTTTAATTGCATGAGCATTAGGCTCTAACCAACTTTATATTCTTTATTATTTTCCTCGCACCTAAAGTAAAATATTCGACATATTAGTTCTTATTATTATTAAAAAGTCTAAATTTAGCAACTAATTTTAATTCTGTTAAAGCAATAAAAAATAGTTGTACAACCCTTTAAAGCTTAAAATGAGATTAAAATAAGAAAAATTATAATAATGAATACGCTAAAACAAATGCTTCATTTCATCACTGATAATAATATGAAAATACTTTTCTATGTAATTATCTCAGCATTAATTATCATATTTGTATTATCAAAATTCAAAAAATTAAAATTTCAACTCATTAAAATGGTATCGAGATTAGTATTTATGGTTAATCTGAAAAGAACTGTTCGTAAACACTGCTATAAAATATTTATTCAGAAATACAATACTTACTGTTAAACATTTATTCAATAAGCAGGGTAAAATTTAGAGGCTAACCAATAATATATTTATATTTCTAAAATAAACCTTTTTAATCAAACATTTATTAAATCTTTTATCAGCAATTCAAAGTTTTAAATAACTGTGCGCTGTTTACTTTCAAATATTTTTTAAAAATTCCTCGAATGTCTTTTAAAAGACAATGCAAACCTTCAAACTAAATATCTTTTAACTAAACTTATTTTCTATCTTCTTATACGCCACCAACGTTGACTCAACGTTGAATAAACGTTAAGTAACGTAAAACGCAATTTTAACATTAGTACAACGTTAGTACAACGTTGTGTGCCTGCTGGGTATATATAAATTATATATATATATATATATATATATATATATATATATATATATATATATATATATATATATATATATATATATATATATATATATATATATATATATATATATATATATATATATATGCGTATATATGTATATATATATACTATATATATAAATATTTGTGTATATATATATATTATATATATATATATATATATATATATATATATATATATATATATATATATATATATATATATATATATATATATATATATATATATATATATATATATATATATATATATGTATATATATATGCAAATGTTTAAATATACAAGTTTATATATTTGTGCTTACAAATAAACAAGTATTAGTATATGACGATATAAAGATCAATTATATGGGGAAATTGGCTATTTCTTTGATACCAGTTTATTATAAAATTTTAATTATTGAAGTTTAATTGGTGATTTTTTTGGGGGGAAAAATCTAATGGTTTTGACGTTTTTGAAAGTGATTATATGCTATTTTTAACTAAACTCTCTTTAAAAAATGCTGATTTTAGTAAACCTTTTTCACTTTTATAATTGTTCTGATTTTTAATGATTGACCTTGTTCAGTAGCCAGTTAATTCAATTAAACGTTGAAAGACGTTTTTCTTACAACGTTTGGCCAACGTCGTCAATATAACGGTGACCTATGTTTCATTTATGCCATTATTCCAACGTCAAAATAATGATAGAAAAGACATTGGCTCACCGTCATTTCAGTCAAAATATACCGTTTGCCCAACGTCTTTATAACGTCTTTCTTTTTAAAGTTTAACGTTGCTCTAACGCCTTCCCGACGTCATTTAGTTCAAATATAACGGTGTTACAAAGTTATTTTTACATTGTTACAATAAAGTTAGCAAAACGACGGTTTTCCGCTGTTCCATTTATAATATCATGCCAACATCTTTCCAACGATACGAAAGACCTTCGAGTAATGTTATCCCAACGTGATTTTTCTTATTGCGAGCTGATGTCTACAAACAAACTGAACAGTTACAATAATTGAAGAAGTCGGTAGCAAAGTCTAAAAACGTGTGAAAAACGCAAACTTATTCCGAAATCATTACGAATTAACAGTCCTGTAAATACAAAGAGAGCAGTAAGTATTGTAGTTCGATGTAGATTTGAAATTTTGATTTGTATTAAAAACGATGCTAAAAAATGGTATTTTATGCTTATTAATAAAACTAAAAATCTCCTGAAAGATCCTCAAGTTATTCTTAATGAAATTGTATAAAAAAATTCGAAAAAGTTACGGAAAAAGCTCGGGAAATAATGTTTCTGAAATCCAAACAGAGATTACTTTTGCGGAGTAGGAAAGTAATAAAAAGTATAATAATTTGATTGATGTTATTTGTAACAAAACTTCTACATAAAACTAAATTATCTGTGTAAGCAAAAATACTTTATTATGAACAGTGCCGTGGCTAGTTGATCTAGTTGTCTATGGCCCCAATATCTTAAAAAGTTTACTTTAAAAAATCTATAAAAGCTCCTTAAATTTTTAAAAGAGCTCCTAAATATTCAAATGGGCCCCCTGTATTCGCTGGATCCCCCCATTGGGGTTTCTGGGATATGCTATCAACGGTCTGGGTTATGTATATACTTTATAAAAATAATGATTTTATCTTTTAAGAAGATTAAAAAAAATCAATAAATTAATAAATTGGTTAACTATTAGGAAGTTTAAATGGCTTTTAGTTGGCTAAAGCCTGAAACCAAAAAGCCTTTTTCTGTAGTGAATATCCCAAGGAAAAGAGCTGAACTTGAAGGTTCATTATTTATAATAAATTAAATGATATAACAGGAAATGAAGAAAATGAAACAATTTTAATTAATGTTTTTTTTTGTTGGTATATTCTTGTTTACATTAAAGTATTGTGGTTTACCCTCCGCTAGCTAATTAGATTAGTTTAAAATTCTTCGAAAGGTATTTGTAAATAATCACAGTAATAAAATCTGTAAATTTACAACCCATACAAAGAATACTGTTTTGAACTTATGCGATGTCGATATTCCATTAAAACAATACAATCTTCTTATCTTGATCCACATTTTGTACCTTCGTTAATATATATATCTTATATGGATATTATTGCAACAACAGAGACCTCGGCTTTAAAAATAGAATATAGCAACAAGATTGAAAATGCGCAGAAATTGAGAAAAAATGTTTTAAAAGAACTTAAAATGGGTAAAATTTAACAAGAGAACGAAGAAAAGCTCTTATGGAAATTTAGGAAAACAAAATTATCGATATATATCCGTTTGATAAAAGTAATAGTTTTGTAAGAATAGAAAAAACTTTTGAATTTCGGAAAAAATTCGCGAACAAATTGGCCCAACGAGAATTTTAAATGAAGATCCCTTATCTAGTTATGCTATTAAAATTTAAACTTATCTTAATAAAAACTTAATTAAAAACAGCGATTTTCAAAAACGGAATATGATAGTATATATCCAAGTGATCCTATCGCGCCTCGTATGTATGGTCTAATTAAAGCTCACAAACCTGAAAAATCCTATCCTATGAGAATAGTTATATCAACTATCGACACTCCTAATAATTGAATATCGAGCTACTTAGTAAAGAAAAAATAACCTGACTTAAACAAAAACCAAACACATCTGAAAAAATTTTTTTGATTTTATTAGTCAAGCGAATTCATGTGAATTTAATAAAAACAAGGTTCAAGTTTCATTTAATGTAATAAACTTGTATCCATTAACATCTTTGTTATTTGCTCTGGAACAACAAAATTTATGAACTTGAGAATTCTGGTCCTATAGGTCTTTCATTTATGGTAGTACTTGCAGAATCATTTTTACAACATCATGAACAAAACGCTTTCAAAATTGCAATGATAGTAAATCCTCCTCTTAACCTAAAATCTTATCTAAGGTATGTCGACAATACCCAGCAAATACTGCTCGAACAAAAAACGTATGATGTACGTTCAGTTTACGTTCTGAACATCCTAGACTTTTTTGGAACCAAAAAT